ACATGAGATAGCCAAAAATAAGACAGACATAACAAATAAATTTGATATTATTTATGTCTCTCGGATGATTTACATTCATCATAATAAATTCTCGAAATGTCGTACATAAAACACGTTATTAATCCATAAAAATCGAAAATGTAAAGCAAACAATCAACATATTGTGTCCAATCTCTTCTACAGTGTCTCACCATATATCTTCATCTTGGATCATATTTTCAAAATTTTTATCACTTTATGACTGCATAAACATAATATTTTTCAACAGATGATTAAAATGACGGGAAATCGAGCAAAATGAGATCATTTTTTGTCTAACTTGTTTCTTTGACAAAATTTTTATTGTATGGAACATCCAATTCAGATGATAATATTTCTTGCTGTCTTTCTTTTCTTCAGTGCTTGCTTTTTATGAAAGAAAAAGAAAACAAAATACAAGGCAAAAAAAGAATTGTATATAAATCGCCTCAACATGTGGTGTCCTTCGAGCACACTTAATTGCGAAAAGATGTTGATCATCCGGGACTAGAACGCGTTCAATCGTTCTTCGGATTCTGTTAATTTGATGCTTGCCTTATTTTGGTAGCAAATGTTTTCAATAAAATTTTTTGTGAAATAAAAAATTGTGAAAAAAGAGAATATTTTTATGTCTTTATCTTTTCGTTTCTGCTTCATCATTTAATGCGACTGTAGAAGATTAATTACTGCATTTTTATTTTTTTTTTTCTTCTTGAATATTTTGAATGACTTGAATAAATTTTTGAAATATATTTGAAATTTTATAAAATGATCAAACATTTAGAGTCTCAAGGCTGAATATTTAATAAAACACCTGATAGGGTGTTCTGATTTTATCAAAACTTTCCCTTACATGTAAGCATATTTTGAACTAGTTGAATTTTTTCAATTGAACAATGATCATCTTTGATTCTTCTTTTAAATTACTTTACCATTAATAAACTGATTTACTCTAAAAGAGGAAACTTGGTTTTACACGTCACTATCGACACATTATAAATGACTTTTACAAAAATTTAAGTTAAACGCCCCTAAAAGTCATGATTTTTTTTTCTTTTTACTCTAAATTGATTTTAATTTGTTTTTTACTTCCTTGCAAATATTAATTTAAATTAGTGTTTTGAAAATAAAGTAACTGGACTGGTTAAAAAATAAATATTGCATAGATATATAGCTGATCAAAGATCAAAAATTCTCCACTTTAAAATTCAAAAAGCTTTAGCTTAAATTTCAACTAATACAGTTTAATAATTTTTTTCTAATTATCTTAGCATATTTAATTTGGAGGAGTTTTAAAGTCTGCACATAATTTCAAAATTTCTTCTGTAATTTATCATATTCTTCAATCATAAGTTCACGAGCAGAAATTGAAAACTGTTATACAATCCACATTCAGACATCAAATAATTATAAAAATAAAATTTCAACAACTTAGTTTGCAGGTATTATTAAATTACAGTTTATGAAAGGATAAAAAAACTAGACAGGTTTCATTTTTGACAGTATGGTGTATCATTGAAATGAAAAGTTTAAAATTGATACACCATAGAGCAGTGTTGTCCAATCTGTGTGCCGTAGGACATCCTTAAGTGTGCCGTGGAAAATTATTAAAAATCCCAAAAATAGGTAGTTTTACAGAAATTTGTAGATTTTACGCTAGAAAAAAGTTTGGACAACACTGCCATAGAGTTTAATTCAAGAGTTTAATTCAAGTTTAATTCAAAAAAAAAACCAAACAACAGAAATCTATGAAAGTTCTCTACACACTCCCTAAATAATCCTCACACATAATTCTGTCGATAATTTACACGAAACACTATAATGACTGAACATTTACAAGATAAATTACTTAGATTGCTTGAAAGAAGTAGAAGTAAATAGCCTTTGAAGTAACAATGAAAGAAAATTTGCACATAGGAGGAGACGAAACCACAAAGAAAAATAGTTTTTAAAGAATCAAACAGTTTATAACAAAATATTGCAAAACAAACTTATCGATTTAGAAGAAAGAGACTTTTATGCTTTATGTAATTTTTCTTATGTTCGACTATTAAATACATTTAGCATTAAACATGAATTTCTATAAGTTAGAAGAAAAAAAATTTTCACTTGAAGTGAAAAAAGTATCATAAATAATTTGTACAATATTTATAATAAGTCACGATATCTGTGCTATGTTGCATTTATTAAAAATAATATTCCCCGCTTTATAGCCTCAATGGATTTTTCTCTTTTTTCATTTGAATTTTTTTCATATAAATCACTCGATTCGCTCTTTTTCTGTGCTGTGCTGTTTCTTCTCGCTTAGAGTATTTGCTACTCTGCTCTTTTGCTGTTTGCTATTTCTTAGAATATGAAAAATTCACATAAGGTAGAAGAGGCCATAACCAATCATTATATGAATAATTTTTCGTTATAAGCAACACTCAACCGTGCTCATTTTGCCCACTTTTTTGAATAATTTTTATAATCTGCTGATTTTGTTTGCATATTATTTAAATAATAGAAATAAAGTTTGGATTTTCAATACTAAATGCGAGTTTAATTAAACTCCTTTTTGGCTATTATGTTCATCTTTTCTTATGAACTTATTTATTTTACGAGATGCTAGAATTTTTTTGAAAAAAACAAGTAATTTTATTAAATTTATATTTTGATGTTATTAGTTTATCCTGTTTCATCCATAATGCTAGTATTCTGCATCATAACTTATATCTAGTATGCCAAATAATCAGACACGTTTTGATGTAGAAGAATTTTATATACTTGATACATGATATGAATATGATACCAGTTTTTACTTTCATTAAGCTATTTTTCAAAAAAAAAAAACAAGGATCGATTTAAAATATTTTATAGTTTACATATTTCTATATCTTTAAAATTCTCTGGACATAAATCACGGAAGATTTTAGCCATCAATTCAAAATCATTTTATCATTTTGTTTAATTCTGATTTTTTTATTATGCGAAAAAAAATTAAGTGGTTCGATTTAATGCAAAATCTTGAGATATTGACTGTATCTTAAGTGGGGTAGGAGGGGCAAGAATCTAGCTTTGACGTTAACACAAAAATTTAGAAAAAAATCATTAAATTTCTTCTTATTCTTAAAGATAATATCATAATTATGTGCATATTCTAAGTTAAAACAAGATTGCAAATTATTAAGAATATGTCATTTTTAAAACGTATTGAATATAAATTACTGATTAGAATTTTGTTTATTTAAGAATCATATAAAACTAACACCGAAAATAAGAATAGTTTTATTATCAGCTAGAACTGGATAGAATTAAAATAAGTCGTCTATATTTACTGTATTGCTTGAAAAAATAACTAATACGGTTCTATTCATAGGATTGCGAGAAGCTATTAAAAAACGAAATAATGCATTTAATTTATTTTTATAAATATAATATAAAAGTAGTAAAAGTTCTCATATGCTATATGTTCATGTCCTTGACAAAGAAATGCATTTAAACAACATAAAATACAACTTCCCGTTTCCATAAATTAGCATAAACTATTTTTATCAACATTATAGAACAACGCGTTAGTAACTTGCATGAAACTTTTCTCTTACGCCATATATCAAAGCAAGTAGCATATAATTAAAAACTTCTAATGCTTTAATAGAGAAATTGCATGTTTTTAAAAAAAGAAACAAATATTGAAAGGCTGTTCCGTGACGTTTTGTGAAAAGCAAAAAGTATTACGCAATCGAACAGAAGAAAAAGGAAAAAATCAATTATGAGGTACATTTCACATATATGATGAGGTACGCGCATGTTCCCACAAAACCTGTGAAATGTAAATGAATTTCTGACACTGAACTTCAAGTTCGGTTGAATTGATTTTCTTTTCCATTGGACATGTATGTATTTACCCCATCCTAAGAACATGATATATTTCATTGCGGCTTTTGTGGATTTGATTTTGTTGATAGTTCATGAAAAATTGAAATCTGAGATGATTTGCTTCAAGAAGTTATGAAAGATAAAAAAAATATGAAAAATTACTTCTGCTCTCAACACCAATTAAGCAACTGCATACCAATTTTGATATGCAAATTATTTTTTTCTAAGCTTAAATAAATTAGCTTCTTTGAGTTTAAATATTGTCGCAAATAGATGAAAAATAATGTCCAAAAATTTAAACTTCAACATATTCTTCCTTGTATACATCATAATGATTAATGTATGTCTTTTAAAGCTCCACTGAAGGCGGATTTTTTTTTGCAAATAAAAATTTATTCTAATGAATTCTTTGTGACAAAATTCGTATTCACCAAGACCTGTTGCATAATTCTTTCTGTCAAATTTCCCAGCTCCTCATTCAGCACTATAAAAAGTATGTCTCTCGTAAGAACAAATTGATGATACCTTAAAAGATTTTCATTCTTTTTCGTCTGATAATGATGACGTCATGAAACAGATTATATGTTTCTATACATATAACATTTTGTGAGCACAGAGCTTATTATATGACTACTATGGCATGAACAGTAAGAGAGAAAAAGGAAGCCACAAAAAGTTTATGCCAAAGAGAAAGAGAAAACGAACGAGAGTAATGAGCAAGACCTACACAAGGCACCGCTATTTGAGCAAGTTGTATGAATGAAAATATCTCTCGGAGAAGATGGATGAACAGAAAAAAAATCAATGACGACACGCGCCATGCTTTCAGACTAAGCAAAATTAATGACGTCATGGTTTGTTGAGAGAGATCACGGAGAAGTTGTGAGAGGATTTTATGAGAGTAATGATGTCGATGAAGACGACAGAAAAAAGGAAGAAAGAAATACTAAAGTGCCCATAGAATGCGATAACTCGTCAGTTTGTTTTTATACTCCATGATATTCAGACGCGACTTGAGCGAGACAGTTTCAGCATCAAGTTTAGTTATATTTTTCCACAGAATTTTAAACAAATGAGATCATTTTTGTAGATCTTAGTGAATTAATCAAGAACATTACAAGAACAAATTAAAAACATTTACCTTCAAACAAAAGGAAATAATATTATTCTGCGAGGATTAAACAAAAAAAAAATATTGATTCAATTAAAGGAAACAATTTTTGTGTGATTTAATAAAAAATTGTGCAAAAATCAGAAAAGTTTTGTATTTATTAAGAAAAAGTGAATCAATAAAAAACTAAAATCACTACTGGTTAATTCGTGCTGGAGGAAGAATCAAGTGATAGGCACCAACAGAGGACTTCATCTGAGTCCCCTTTATCAGGTGTTTAAAAAATATAAAAATTGTTGCTGTTTAATGTGTTGGCTGTTTATATTCCTTTTTTCATTTTAATTATTTTTTCTTCATAATTTTAATTTATTTTTTTTGTTAAATAATTCCGAAAAGAATTTCTTGGTTGTTAAATATTAATAAGAAAAAAGGATACAAAAAAACTTGAACAGAAAAAGTAAAATTAAAAAATATTTTAAATGGAAAATTTGTGATTTTTAAATTTTTCCACAAAATATAACAATTGATAAATTGCGGACATGCGAACGGAATTGGCACCCTTGATTGTTGTGAAGCAGGAATTTCCAGATTTTCGCATTGATGGCAATAGAATAAGTGAAAATGGTGAAGAGAACAATAATAACTTTACAACCATTAAAAGTGAAAATGATTGCAATAATAATCAACCTGAGGATTTAAACTCAATTTTGTTAGGAAAGAAGAGTAAGAGAGAAAATTTTTATTTTATTCTTTGTCCTAACATGGCTTTTATGGTGATTAATATAACACAACTTTCATATTCAATTAATTTTACAATTAAGAACTGCAAAAATTCTAACATGTAAAAAACTCACCTGCTTAATACGAAAAAAAAGAATATTAAATATTATCTCTTATTTAATTTATGCTGTAAATGGTGTTTATGGTTAATAATTGATGATTTTATTTATTTTTTTAAAACTTTTTTGTGTAAAAATAAATTAAATAACATAAATCTATGAGTTTGTGAGAATTTGGCGAAAAAATTTTAATTTGATATAAATCTGATGTGGAGCTTTTTAAATATTTTTTCAAAGTAAAAATATCGTTTTGTGAATAAAAGTTCCAATTTAGTTTATTCAATCATAGATAAATTAAAAGCTACACTTTTGCCAAATTAAAACACAATAGAAGATTTTACAATAGCAAAGCTTCTATAAATGGACGCAATATGCACAAAATGATTCAGTAGTTAAGGGATACAAAACTATGTTTTAACGTAGTTATATATAATTTTTATAAAAATAAAACCGCTAGTGCACGCGAAAATAGTTTGACGTGCACGGCTACTTTATGCAATTTTTTTTCTTCTCTTGTTCACTTTTTTCAATTCCTTTTTTCGCTGTCCAAAAAGACTATAAGTACATGTTCATGTTTCAAGTGACTAAAAATAATTTGGCGAAAATAAGGAGTGAGTGAAAGAGATTGCTTCCTATAAATTCAATTTTTTTTGCTCTGTATATAGAATTTCTTGTACAGTTGATGAAAGAGTCTCACATTTTGGCTCACGTTCAATTGAAAGCATTTATGTTTAATCTAATTTCAATTCTATTTATATTAAAGGCGGAAAAACATGAACATGAAAAGGAAAACTATTTAAGGAAATTAATTACTTTGAGATTTTTTCACATTTTTTCTTCTTCCTTTCGTGCATCTTTCAGTAAACGTTATGAATTAATTATAATTAATAATTACATTATTTCTAACAGCAATTATTTCTCACGTGATTAAGCACTTACACTTATGCTTTGATGCATACCCGTTCAATGAAATTCTACCACTCCACCGTTTTATTAGCAATCATAAATCGGCACGAGATGTTTGGCTGCTTATTTATAGCTTCAAATATGTTTCTCATTTTATTTTCTCGTCAATTAATTATGAAAAATCGCAAACATATTTTTTCGCGGTTAAAAAATGGTCAAATGCAATTGAAAAAATTATTAAAATAATCTTCATTAAGTTTTTTTCTTCTCCCCTGAATGCCCCCAGCTGCGAAACTCAATTCTCTTCGATGTGCTGCTGATGCTGTTGTTGCACATCTGTTGGCTCCAAACCGAAAATAAAATGATTTTTTTTATTAAGTCATACGAGTATAGCGCAGTTGAACAATGTTTAAAAAAACTTAAATTTATTAAATTGATAATGGCAAAAAAAATCATTAAAAATGTAAAATATTCGATAATTGACTTGTATTATTTTCTTGATATCACGTCTGATAGAGATACAAATTAATACTAATCGAAAAGTGCGCTAAAAGCTTAAACATCATGACACTTGTTTCATCATATCCATATACACATTTTTGAACGCGGATTATGCGAGCTTAACGATTAGTAGATTTCTGCAAGACAATCTTTTTTCCTTTTCACTGTGACAGTGATTTACGATTAATAGTGAGACAGAGACTGGTAAAATTTATTTTTTGAAAGTTTTAGGAAAAATGATGCATACATTGAAGATATTATTGCTTTTATATGATTAACAGTAGACAAACAAAAAAATGTTTCTAAAAAATCAAAAAGACATAAAGTATATTGCATGTTGCATAAATAAATTTTTTGGCACAACAACTGCCTATCATCAGCATCATATATTCTTCATCTCATGTATATACATTACATACCTGAATGTAATAAATTTGGCTTCATCTTCATTATTTCACTATACATATAATGCATAGACTCTTGATGATGTCCTTGATGAACGCACATTCATTGGATATAAACCGATTCGCATTTTGTAATGACGAAACTCATTGCTGAAACACTTACCATTGCTGAAAAAAAAGAGTTGAAACAAAAAACATCATCCAAATTAATTTCGTGTTCATGGATGCTGACAGTATGCTGTCATAGAGTCGATATGATACAAATGAAAATTGATGAATATGACAAAATTAATTTATTTCAATAGTTGAAAATCAGCTGTTAGGCATATGCCGACTGTCGTTTGTTCAAGTTCATTGCTATGAAAAATTTATAAGTTTCCCTTTTCGTGCTATGTCGAGGCACAAAATAAAACTCCAATCAATTTTTCTGTGACGTCATATGAACGTAAAACTCATCGTGTGCAACATCATCCCCCGGCATTCATATTATTCTCACAATGTAAATTGTTGTTGCCTAGTCGTACATCTTTCTTCTCTTTCTTACCAACTCTTTTTAAATTCATGTGCGTGTTGCGGTGAATAAATATTTGCTCTGCTTGGAGTACTACAGTCTGCCCTAATCGCTCGTTACCGTATTCTGTTTCACTCACTCGTATATAATTTCTCTTTCGGTGATGCTTTATCCTCCTACCATCAACCACCGCTTTTCTACACTCACAACAATATTTAAAGCTTCGTTTATGTGCTTTCATAGCACTGCGTGTGTAGGCGTCATTGAAAATATAACAAAAAAATATATTTTCCAAATCAACTAACACAAACTTGGGCTGGGAAATGAAAATTTTCTCACACACAACAAAAAGCAATGACGGCAAAGTTGTGGCAACACAGCACCTGGCAAAGAAAGAGAAAATGTTTTTCACATCTATGACGTCATTATAAAATCCGACGATGATTTTCAATTCAGAAAAAGATAAAAAAAAATACAAAAGGGAAAGAAAAGTTTTTATTTATTCAGCAGCAGAAAATTGGTTTCTTACTGAGGCAACACAATGAAAATCACAAAAAGAGAAGCAACACAGTATGATGAGTTTTCATGCTGTTAAAAGAAAAAAAATCGATGAGGTTTCATTTTTCATAAATGACGTCATTAATGAAAGCACAACACATTGTACCATTCATTATTTATTCGTTTTTTTTTCTCTTACATTTTTGGGGCTTTAATAAATCTTTTATTTATTTGTGTTAAATCGTTTGTTTTAAATTTCCCAATTTTTATAATAACGTTAAAAATTGGATGGAAGCTTATTCTGATCTATAATTGATTTTATTACTGTTTAGATTGGCGGGTATCTTTCATAAAATTTCTCATTGATAATATGAAGTTTCATTTAATGATAATTATTTGGCCAAAAAATATTCACTTATTGAAATTTAAATACTCTTCTATTTTATTCTATTTCCTTTAAAAATCAAATCTGTTAAATTTCATTGAATTTATCACGAGTATGGGTTTATCTCATAAAATCGAAATAAAAGTACAATAATGATCTTAAGTATGTTTTGATTTTAAATTTTGCCTTTGCAATCAGCGACAAAGTATAAACTTCTAAAAGAGAAAATCAAAATTGGTGATTTAAACCTTAATTCCTCTCTTGTTGTGCACCTAATTACAACTTTTAATTTTCATGTTTTGATAAACAAAAACTAGCTTTTAACTTCATTAGTACATATGTAAACTTGAAACATTTTTATTAATGATTTTTTAATTTCCTAATGATTTCATTTTATAATTTAATTAAAATTTTCACAACAATTTCAATGAGCATTGAGAAAAATTCTTCAATTCAATGCATCGTCTTCATTGTCAATCCATACTCATGTAAAGCTTAATGCTCAATGAAGGAAACAAATGTTTTTACGCATTGAGTATATTAATTATGTAATGTCTAAAAGTAAAAAAAAAAACAGCAACAACATCAATAACAATCAAAGTAATGAGTGGCTGTAATTTCTGATGAAAATTAATAGACAGTGATGATTTTTTACGTGACTAAATCTGTTTTGTCACATATTCGATCCCTTATGATAAATTATTTAATGTTGTCCTCGTATATATTGTCTCAAGTATGAAAAGTGTGAATCCATTGAAAGTAACAATTCACAAATTGGTCATTTAATGAACATTTCAAGCTTCTTCTTTTCTGAGCTTGACTCTTCATAAAACTTGCTCTTAAGTCTGTCTTGTTTAAAGAAAAATCTTTTTTGCTTCTCTTTTTTTCTCCATTTTAATATGTGATGCTTAATAAAGAAAATAAGATACTCTTAAACTCAACATACGCAATTTTTTTTCTACCATCATCATCATCAACACATCGTCTTCTTTTATATGCTTTTTTACATCAATTAGTTGAACATTGCATTGAACAAATTTAAGTACGTTTTCTATATGATTTTTTTTTGCTTAGTATACAGAGACATGTAACTAGAAAGAGAGAGAGAGAGAGAAAGAGAAAATGATCAGCGGAACTGGCCCAAAAAGATCCATTGAAAATAATGGAATTATAAACTAATACCTGATTGAGTGCTAATTAGGCATCAATATATGAAGTAATAATAGCAATGAAGACATGCATCATCCATTATATTTAAAGATACTCAATTGTTGCACTTAATACTCATCACGTCACTCAATGTTGCTAATGAAATGTGATTCTTTTAGCACTGTCATTAAGTCCATTTTTATTTCTTCACTCTAAAAGCAAATCAAAGTGCCTATCATTGAGGATTGAGTTTTTTAAATGTGTTCATAGTTTCTTAAGCTTGTTGCTGTTTTTGTAAAGTTTTTTTTATTGTACTCAGTGAACATTTTTGACCACATTTGATGGTCTTTTTTATTTCAATTTGTGTTTATCTAATTATATGTAATGACACAAACTATACAATATTAATTTGGCAATCTTGATGATTTTTAATGTTTTTGTGTTGATGATGATGACGATTAAAAGTGAAAAATATCCTTGAGGATTCTCATATATGCATCCACGCTATAAATTCATAAAAGATTTTTGAA